GGATTTAGGTGAGATATACAGAGGGGTAATAGGCGTGGAGAAATCAGGATTGGTAATGAGGCAGGAAACCTAGGTCTTGATTCAGTCCAGGGGGGTGCATTGTCTTGTGCTTATTTATGTCTCCCTTTCAGCAAGCATTTCACACTTGTTACCTTGCTGTAATCCTTACAACAGCCCAATAAAGCAGTTCAGATGCAGGCCTACGTCTGAGAGGAAGTGGTTTGCAGAAAGGTAGGTGACAGCTAAGATATAAAACAAGTATTTGAGTCATAGCCAGTGTTCCCTCCTACTCTCTCCAGGAGTGCCCCATCCAGACTCACATAGCCATAGCCTGCTGCCTCCCTACCTACATACCCTGACTATACTATATCTACTGTCTTACCACACTCCAGCGCCAGCACAAAGCAAGATCACGAGGGTAACCAGCACACCTGCAAGAACATGCATCTCGAGAAATTGGCACCCTGACGAGAAGTAATATCGCCAGCTTGTGACTGCAAATCAATCTGCCGTGGCCATCCTAAATGGATGCAAAGGAAAGGTAAACACTGTTATGAAGCATGGCTTAAATTAGTAGTAAGTGCAGAATTGTTCCGTGGCATGAACATGTTGGCAGAAGCTCCCAAGTTACAAGGTGTGTAGGAAAGTAACTGCAGGTATCTGCAAGGAGCACGTGGGCCGAGGGGCTCGGGGTGCCATGCAGTTAGGGCTCAAAGGGCAAAGTTAACCAGGCCAGGAGAAGAGTATCCCCTTGTGTCTCCCTGCCCCACAGCTAGGTGAATGAAAGAACGGGGCCCAAGGTTACCAGGTGAACTGCAGGGCTCTGTTCGTCCCCCGAACTTCTACTCTGCCTTACTGTCAGTGGCTGTTAGTCTGTCTTGACTGGAGCAGGGAGAGGAGGAGAAGCGGCTGCGATTGGTGGATGGGGCGGAGGTGGCAATGGAGAGAGGCATTACCTGCACATACTAAGGAATCCTTGCAGGGTGCTTTGAGCAGGCGGCATCCCCCGCAGTCTGCCAGTTCGTAAGGTCGAAACCGGATCAGTTCTGTGTGTGGCGAAGAGAGAAGGGCAGTGAGATTTAGGGGGGCACAGAAGAGAATGTGGCGAAGAGAGAAGGGCAGTGAGATTTTAGGGGGTGTTCAGGGGCACCTTGAGGTGTAAGTGCTGAACTATCTGTTATGTGGGCATGCGACGGCAGCTTGTGGGGAGGTGTTTTTGCATACCCCACTGGAATGAACCTGTCTCTGCACCACCGCCATGCCGTGCCGCCCTCAGAGAACTAATTATGTGTTCAAAACAATCATGTATCTGTTGAACTGTGGTTCTGCAAAGGTTACCCCAGCAGGATCCCATTGCTCTGGGCCTACCTGCTCTGCTAATTTAACCCTCGTAGGAATAGGGTGGTTCCGCTTGGGGGGAAAGGAGAAATAGCCGGATCCTACCCTTTACGCTCAATGGTATTCTCTCTCGCACACAAGCAAACTGGAGACTAACACACACAGAGAGACGCCAGATGGCCAGACATGCACAGTTAGTCTGGACAGATGGACTCACCGCAGGAGGCGTTGCAGACTGTGAAATTGTAAAGAGAGAGACAAGAGGTGAGAAAGACCCCGGAAAATCGGGTTCCTTTCTGTCTGAAGAACCCAATGCGACATTTGCCAAATCCTAATCCTTCCCCCCAAACCCAACAGGTCACCTCTGGAATCCACCCCGTACATTT